CGGCAGCTCAGCCGTGTTTCCTCCCGCCCTCTGACGCCCGGGACGGCTGGAATGACAGGCACAGAGACCACTGACTCCCACCCTGGGCCCAGCACGTGCCTTGGTGTGCTGGGCTCAGAGAGTCCTCACAAACTCTGAAACAGGACTGTAAGGCCCCCCTTTTACTAAAGGCTACACACAGGGCGGACGGTGTGCCCCGGTGGTGCCAGGACCCAAGTCCACGGCCACGGTGTTCTCAGGATAACGGTGCTGAGCACACAGCACCCTGCCGCCTCTCCACGGACATGCCTCCGCTTCTCTTCTGCATCTGAAAGTTTCCACTACCACACGCTGTCATTTCAGGCGTCACTTACAACGTGAGACCTGAAGACCCTGGAACTGGGATCACTTGGTCAAAGGGCATAAACTTCAGTTCATGGTAGTTGCTGGTACTTGCTGTTCAACTGTCTCCCAAAAGGACTGCCCTTTTGGAAGAGAAGCCCCATGTCAGCACGGCTCGCTGGCACCCAGATTCACCCACTCTAAAAGGGCATCAAGAATGCAGCTGGTAGACACGGAAGGAAGACTGGTATCAAAAAACCAACATGCAGCAGCCAGCACAGTGGGAACTGAATCTGGCCACAATCACCAAAAGCAAACCACAAACAAACAGAACCACGGATGGTGTTAGGGGTGACAGGATGCTCACACCACCTCCAGATGCCACCTTCCCCCACGGCTGATTAAGCACAAAGGGAAAGTAAAGACACCTGCCGAGGGCCCAGTCAGTGCTAGGACAGGCAGATCAAGGGCATCCTGGTGGGATTTACGGCCCACGAGCGCCTGCCGATAACGTGCATCTTGTACCCAAGCCTGAGGAAAGAGACAAACCCCAGTAGAAGGACATTCTACAAAACAACTAGCCCCGACTCCTCAAAAACATTCAACACCCTGAAGGCGAAGACAGACTGAGGAAATGTTTCAGATAAACGAAGAGTAAAAGAGGCATGACAGCTAAATAGGTTGGCTCATGTTGGTTTGGGAAAAAGTGGCCATTATCAGGACAACTGGCAAAATCTGAATGTGAATGGTAATCGGTAATGATATTATGTCGACGTTAAGTTTTCAGATTGTTCAAAAAATCAGTGTAGCTATTCACATATAAATAAATACACAGGGTGGACAGAGAAATATACACAAAGCAAAGGTGGCAGATGTTAAATGAAGAGTTTGGGTGAAGAGTTTATGGGAGTTCTTTCATACCATGAAATTGTCAAAATAAAAATAAATGAATATAAACCATACCTACCCATGTAAACAGTGGACGGGGTACCTTAAGCAGCAGAGGGGCTCTGCCTCAGATCCCATGCTCTGGCCCAGCTCATGGACCCCCTCGTGGTCTGGGGTTGGCCTGGGACATGCTGCCGTCCAGGGCCACTAGACCTCACCTGCCATCTGGTCCTCTCGGAAGATCAGGGAGACTCCTAGACTGGCCATGTACTGTGTGAGCGAGGCCACGGCCCGGTCCGGCGGCAGATCTTTGAGTTGCATGCCCAGCTGTCTGGCCGCCTCCGGGAAGTCCCCAGCGGGCCCTGTAGGTGGGAGAGCGACCCTCGGGGACCTTCCCATCTGTCCCTCTAAGGCTTCCGGTGCCTGAGCTGTCCCCAGTACTCCAACTCCGGCCCTCACCAAGGGCCCACTGTCCCCCACAGTCGAGGCTAGGGCCTGCCCACCCCCCTCACTGTCCACGCTGGGGACGGGCCGAGGCTGCCTGGGACCTTGGCCAGGGCTGTCAGAAGGACGCCTCGGACTAATCTGCAATGAAGCCGCCAGGCGGGGCTTCCTACGGCCACCATCATCGGCCCCTGAGCCTGCGCTGGCCGACGAAGCCATGGCCACACGCAAAAACCAGATAGAACAGGTGCCGATTTCCCGGCGCGTGCCGTTTTACACCAACCACCACCCAGCTACCAAGTGGAGAGCACGTGGTGCAACGTAATGTGCGTGGCGAGATCGGCCCGCCCCTCCCCCCACGTGCCATTGGCCAATGAGAGCCCGTAGAGCTGTGGCAGACAGTGTTTTTGACCAAAGGGACAGCCAGTCTTCTGGACAGCCACCACCTGGCTATGGACAGCGTGGTCACCTGGGCCGCATCCCACTTCCGGGACAGGGGTTGTGGGGCAGGAATGGTATGAGTGAACTCCGCCCTGTGCTGGTCCTGGGGAGGGAGTCTGGGGACCCCAAATCCAGCATCATACCTTGCTGCTGCTCAAGAATTCCCTGAAACCGCAGCCATCCCAGCAGCCTACCGGAGTTACTTAGCTGTGCCTGGAGATCCTCCTCAGGTAAGGGAAGGTGTTCTAAATGGAAGCAGCCCCACAGCACTTTTAGGATCTACATTTTAAAACCATAAACTGGGCCCTGGTTGGCTAGCTCAGTTGCTTAGACCATCAATTTGATACACCAAGGTTGTGGGTTCAATCCCCAGTCAGGGCACATGTGAACAAATAAGTGGAACAATAAGTTTCTCAGTTTCTCTCTCTCTCTCTCTCTCTCTCTCTCTCTCTCTCTCTCTCTCTCTCTCTCTCAAAAATACCATGTAGAAAACCTGTAAACTGTATGCCTTCCTGAAGCCAACCAGAAGTGCTCTCTAGCCAAAACTAAACACTTGGTACCCAGCTGTTTCTCTCCTCAAAAAAAGATTTTGACTTGGCTCATAAAAATACTACGACACAAATCCTTTAAGATGAAAGACGAAGGATAAAGGAGAAATAACAAGAACAAGGTGAAGTTAGAGATGAAGACAATCTACATGTGGCCTGCTATGATATAATATATAAGTGCTTGAAGGGGGCCAAAAATTGGAGTCTTCTAGGGGCCAGAGAATGGGAAAGCAGGGCCAATAACTCAGTCCACAGTCTGTAAGACTTGTCACGTTGTTGCTGCAGATTGCTGCCTTTGGGTCTGATGGTGCTAACCAGGAAGATCGCCATGTGGATGCTGAGGCATATGAGAAAGAGTTGATGGGACCAGGAATGTGTTACTTGGGAAGAGCAGGGGTGGGGGCAAGGTAGATTCAACCTTCCAAGCATTTCAAGGATTGGCACCAGGGAGAACAATTCTGATTTTAGAGTGTAGTTCAGAGAGGAGAATTGGGCCTAGGAGAAGAATGCCAGCAAAGCAGGTGTTCAAAAATGAAATGATGGCTGTCTGTAACCACAAAGTGATTTGAACAGAGTTTCCAAACCCAGAAACATCACCAACAGGAAGTTGCATGGACAGATAGTGATATATTCATACAATGGACTATTAGTAACAAAGGAAAAAAACCCAAACTACTGTTATATGTACAACATGGGTAAATCTCATAGGCATGTTGTATGAAAAAGCCAGCCTAAAAGAATAACTTCTGCATGATTGTATTTACATTACGTTCTTGAGCTGGCAAAGTTAATCTATGGTAATGACTCAGAATTGTGGTTACTTCTTAAAGCAGGCATTAACTGGGAAGCAGCCCCAGGGACTTTTCTGTAGTAATGGAAATGCTCTCTGTCCTGGGCTAGGTGGTGATTATGTGGGTTTATAATGTATGTCAAAATGCAATGAGCTGTACACTTAAAACCTGTGCACTTTATTGCATGTTTAAATGTATGTAAGTAACAAAAGAAAATATAACAGCTTGTTTAGAAAAAGGAAAGAAGGAGAGAAGGAAGGAATGGACTTGGGCTCCCAGTGCAGAACCTGGACAGGTGTCTCATAAGAGTAGTAAGCAAAATAATGGTCCTTCAGAGATGTCCAGGACCTGATTACCACAGCCTATAAATGTGTTATACCCTGTGATAAAGGGGAATTAAGGTTGCAGGTGGAATTAAGGTTTCTACCCAGCTGAGTTTAGGATAAGGGATTATACTGGATTATCTGAGTAGGTCCGACGTAATCACCGCTGGGGAAGAGGGAGACAGAAGACTCAGAATCAGTGACGGCACCAGGAGAAAGCCTATTGGCCAGTTAAGACTTTGGAAGATGGATGGGGGCTGTGAACCAGGGAATTCAGGTAGCTGTCAGAAGCTGGAAAAGGCAGGAAACAAAAACAGCCTTGACCAGTGTGGCTCAGTGGGTGGGGTGTTGTCCGGCTGAACAAAGGGTCACCAGTTCGATTCCCAGTCGGAGCACATGCCTGGTTTGAGGGTACGGTCCCAATTAGGGTGCCTACAACAGGCAACCAATTGATGTTTCTCTCCCTTTGTTTCTCCCTCCAATCCCCTCTCTCTCGAAATAATTTAATAATATAATGATTTTTTTTTTTTTTTAAAAACTGGATTCTTCCCTGGAGCCTCCAGCAAGAAACACAGCTCCGCCTACACCTTGACTTTAGCCCAGTGAGACACGCTTCAGGCTTCTGACCTGCAGACTGTACAATATTGTGTAGTTTTAAGCCACTAATTTTGTGGTAATTTGTTACAGCAGCAAAAGGAAGCTAATGAAAATGGTCTTTTTTTTTTTTGCATACATATCTGAAAAATGTTGAAAACCTATCTATCCCAAAATTTTTTAGTCACGAGTTTAAATATATTTCTAGTACATTTTCACCAAAACCGTGGAGATGCAGGCTGAGCTTATCCCACTTCTGAAAAATGCTCTCCAAATGACTCCCAGGAGTACTTGGACTTCTGCTTGCAAAGCCTGCTTTGTAGGGTGTTAGGACAATCATTAAGATTCCTACTGAGTGATACAGTGTCTGGCACATAGTAGGTGCTCAGCAAGTGTTTGTTGAATGAATTCATTTAATACTCACAAGAATCATGCGAAATAGGAAGTTAGTTAAGCAGAGGTGGAATTAGAACTCCCTTCAACGGGGCCTTCACAATAGGGACTTAAGTTCCTATTCCTGGCGCCCAGGGAACCGCCTCCACTCCCATTCCCCCTCCACCCAGGAGGTGGCGCCGTAGGGCGCCCGTGAGGTCAGGCTGGGAGGCGGGACATTTTGCCTTTCCAGCAGCTCTTCCGTCCCAGCCCGGAAGTCTGTTAACTGCTATTGTGGGTGTGATCCACGAGGGTTGGCGCAAGTAGAGTGCTGCTTTGGGGCTCCTGTCACGAGGGTTGGACAAGCGTCACGCAGAGGTCCATGTTCCAGACGGGCACGGCGAGGCCTGGGCCACGTAAGTGCTTGTGCCGCCTGGAGGGCAGGCGGAGGGGTGCAGGGAGAGAGCTCTGGTCTGCTCTCTGCGTGGGTCCAGCGGCCCCAAGCTGTGTGGCTTTGGTACAAGTCCCCTGCAAAGTGAGTTATTAGCCTTTAGTACGTGGAGTGGTGAGGATCCTACAAATACGAAGCGTGGCAGCAGCTGTCTGGTATGCAGCGCTTCATGAGAGTCCTCTGCTGCTGAAATTCTGGGGCCTGGAGGTGGAGTGGGAAGAAGAGGGTAGGGAGGACTTGGCCGAGTAGGTGTGTGAGGGGAGGGACCGTCCAGGTCCTCTGGCCCGTCCGCTGCGACAAGTTCATTTTTTGCCGTGTTCCGTGTGGCAGTAATGCACCCTCGGAGGTCTGAAGAGTTCTGGGGAGCCACTGGTGAGGTTGGGAAGTTGAGGCTGCCTCGCCTAGGGCATTTTCTGATGTAGGCTCCGCCTGTGCTCTCAAACTGCCTGGGTTTGTTTGAGTCTGTTAGGTTCCTTTTTCTTCTTCATTTAGTGTTGGGTTTGTTTCATCAGCTTACTTGTACTGACTGTTACAACGTAGCAAATACCAAGGCATTGGGGATAAATCAGGTCCCTTTCTCATGGGGACTATTGCAGCAGCTTTTAATCAAAGAGCTTCATCTTTAAATATGTAGTTGCATATTGCATGCATGTTCTGGAGGAAGCATGCAGGGTATTGTGGGAGGGTAGGGTTGGGGAACTGAGAGAGGCTTCCTGATTGAAAGCTGGAGGAGGAGTAGGATTTTGTAGGTGGGTAGGAAGAGGGGCCTTGGCACTCATTCAAAGCAGAGAGATAGTGTGCAAAGGCCCTGTGGTGAAAAGCACGGTGAGGAAGAATCTAGAGGAAGTTGGTGTGATTGGAGCCCAGGAACAAGAGACAGACTGGAAACTTTTGCGTGCTGGTTTATCAGGGATGCAGCCCTCTCCAGGAGGCTTGGTTGCTCCTGAACTTGCACTAGGAACAGTCAGTCCTATGCAAGCTGGCGCTTTTTCACAGGGACTCACTGAGCATCCCACCCACCCCCACCCCCGCCCCCGATTCTTGCCACTGACCTCCCTGGTTGTGGAAAAGAGAATGACAGCAGCAGCCAGACACCTGTAGCTCAGGAATGAATCAGATACAGTCCTGGCCCTCAGAGAGCTTGCAGTCTGGTGGGGGAGATAAGTCTGTACACATAAGCCACAGCTAGAATGAGGCTGACATGCTGGAGAAACATATTCATTCATTTGACACGCAGCCACTGTGTGACGGGTGTTTTGCATGGTCATGGATGTGCAGAGCTTACAGAATAAACTGATAAAATGCAGTGGCCGTGCCAAAGGGAAACACTTGTGCTTGGTAAGACCCTAATGCGAGCATTTGCTTTTGGATGCACCTGAGAGAGGTGGTGCATCCAAGTGGACTTGGACTTTGAATCAGACAGGAGATCAAGGTATTGGTCTTGAGCAAGTGGCTCCTTCCTGAGCTTCAGTTTCCTGAACACCAGATTGGGAGAATAGGAGAATAGAACATGGAGTGCCGTGCCTGGCAGGTGTTTGTTTGCACTCCGTAAGTGAGCGGAGCTATTATTTTTGCTGTTGATAAAATAAAGAGGGATAATGTGGCTACTTATACTTCTAGAGCACTTTGTAGTAGGCAAAGCCCTTTCACTAAATTTATTTTTATTCAACACAGTGCATTTTCTGGAAGATACTATACTCAACAGACAAGACTGAGTCCCTGACTGTGGAGAACTTGAGTTAGTATTGAGAGTGTAGGCTGGAGTATAGGGCCCGTATAGTCTATAAAATATGTAACTGTAATATCTGAGAGTAATGATAGAAGCTGACCCCTCACCACCTGTCTGACTTTATTCCCTGCCACTCTCCTCCTCACTCATTCTATGGCCTAGTTGTTTCTTAAACATGTCCTGCCCCAGGACTTTTGCACTTGCTATTCATTCTGCCAGGAACCCTCTTCCTAGTTGTCTCTGGTTCTCTGCCTCATTAGGTCAGGCTGTGCCAAATGCCACCTTCTCAACGAGGCTTTCCCTAGCTATTCCCAAAACCACACCCTTGGTCCACCGCCATCCCCTCCCTCATGGATGATTAGTTGGTTTTCATATAGCACTTATTATCAGGTAGGAAGCTATATATTCATCTCTTCTTTGTTAATTGCTCCCTCAAAGAAAGTATACCCCTCTGAGGGCACATCTCTTCCAGGAACTCTGGGGGCTGTTGGTCAGGTTCAGGCCTTTGGAAGGCCAGTGTGATGTGTGGGTCTTGTTTTCTAGGATGGACTTCCCCAGCTCCCTCCGTCCCATGCTGTTTATGACGGGCCCCCTTGGGCTGAGCGATGTCCCTGACACATCCTTCATGTGCAGCTGGAGAGATGCCCTGACCCTTCCAGAGTCCCTGCCCCAGACCTCCAAGGTGAGGATGGTGGGGAGAACCCTGGAGGTTCTTGGGTGGGCACCTTCACTGTTTTCTAGCATTTACAGCAGCTGGCAGGAGTACAGAGTGATGTATCTTCTGAGACAGGTACATCAGGGCTGAGCCAGAGTCCCCTCCTTTGGGGTCCATGGGTGACCTACTACCCACAGAGGGTTTACTAAGCAGGAGCGGGCTGGCTCACTCTTCCTGCCTCTCTCCCCCAGACTTTCCTTCCTCTGTTTGTTCAAAAGATACTGGACAGTCCCTACAATGTGCCAGATACTTCATTAGTCCCTGGGAATCCAATGCGAACAAGTCAGATACCATCCCTGCCCCTGCGGAACTTAGATTGAGTGGGAATAGACAAGTGAGCAGCCCCAGAGACAAAATCATTACAAAATGGGATAACAGCTTCGAGCAAAATCAGAAGTATGCTGAAAGACGCAGTGGAAATGGGGTGGGGAGGGGCGGGAGACCTCTTGGGATGGGAAGGACATCAGCTCCTTCCCTGGCAGCCTCAGCCATCTGGCTGCTCCTTGCAGACCGGCTGGCTAAGGGTTCCTGCAGGCAGAGACAAATGGGTGAGAACATTAAAAGAGACGGTGGGGGTGAGGGAGGGGAGCCATGGGGCTTCCTTGACAAGGAAGGGCTGAAGTCAGACAGGTCCTTCAGGGAGCATGGCTTGCCAACCCTTGTGAGTTTCGGCTGCGCCATCCCCAGCCCTGTGGTGGGGAGTGGGGTGGCCTGCAGTTGCCCTGAGTAAGTGACCATGGGGTCTTGAGTGGAAGTGAGAGGTAGGATTCGGGGTAGCTGGTCATGGTGCTGGGCTCCTTTGAGAGCCAGTGCAGCCTGGAGGTCAAAAGTGTGGACTGGCTATCACCTGGGACAGGTGACAGCCTCCCTGTCCCCCCATTTGTTCATCAGTAAAGTTACAATGATCATCGCACCAACTTGGCGAGCTCCTTGTGAGGATCGAATGCATCAATAAAAGACAAGTGCTAGTGACAGCGCCTGTCCTGGGAGTGTGCTCACTGTGACCTTGTGTCCGTGGTTGTGTTTCCGCAGAATGGGACGCCACACTCAGTCAAGGGCCTGCTCTGGGAGCCAGACACTCCCGGGCCCCTTCCCTTGCTGCCTCCTGGTCCTGGTAAGGGTTTTGGTCCTGGGGGGGCCCCCTCCTAAGCTGCTCCCCCATTGCTTCTCACCTCCACCATTCCCTGAGATCTTCCCTCTCCCTGCTAATGCCCTCCACCCCAGGGTCCTTGGGTACCTCCAGTCACCTGGGACATGTGGCCCTACTTCTGGGCCCTTCCTGGGCTCTGGGACAGACTCCTTCCCCAGCTGCACTCATCCCTCAGATCCCTGGGACCCTGGCCTGACTGCCCAGGACCTGCTTTTCCGGGGAGGTCCCAAGTTCCGGAGACAGCCCAAAGCTGTGCTGGATGTTACTGAGCAGGTGAGTGGCCCCACAATGGACAGTGCCACGTGGCTGGGGCTGTGCTTAGTGACCTGGTGTTCTCTCCTCCCACAGTTCAGCCGGTTCCTATGGGACCATGGGGACATAGCCTTTGCACCCCTGGGGAAATTGATGCTGGAGAATTTCAAACTGGAGGGAGCACGGGTGAGTGACCCTGGTCAGCCAGGAGAGGGGCTCCCATTTCACATCAGGGTAAGCCTGAGGGTGTGCATGCTTGACAAGGCCTTTCCACGCAGAGCTACTACTCTAAGAAGAAGACAGTGGTCAGTGTGAAGAGGATACTCCAGGACCTCGGTGGACATCAGCCCTGGGGGCAAGTGGCTAGTGAGAAAGGACGGGGCGGTAGCCTTAGCTGGTATTGGGCACGTGGAAGGAATCGGACACGGGTGGGTCCAGGTTTCCATCACAGTCGCTCCTCATCCCATGCAGTCGTGAGCCAGGTTACTCACACTGACCTCCCAGCTCCACCAGTCTGAGGGGGAAAGGGAATTTCAGTTCATGGGCTGCAGGCATGGCTGTATCCAAGTTTTTATATGGTGTCTGAAATAGGGCTGTGTCTCTTTATTTTCTCATCTGCTTGCCTCTGCCTGGCTTAATTCCTACACAGTTTCCAAGTGCAGCAAGATGGCTTATGAGTCCAAGGAAAGAGCCAGTGCCTTTTCCTGAGGCACCATCAGAAGTCCCAGGAAGGGTGTTGCTGGCTTGGCTTGGGTGTCCTGCCCGTCTGTGAGCCGGTCACTGTGGCCAGGGTGATGGAGTGCTCCAGTGGCCGGGTCTGGGTCATGTGACTGCCCCTGGTGGGGTGGTTCCTACAGGAAGAAATTCTAGGTAGATTAACAATGTGTCCACTGCACCCGGCCTCCCTGGGGATGGTACCCAGTCCTCCTCATCAGTGCTACAGCCTGACCCTTCTGCCATCCTCTTATCCCCAGGTGTCCCTGGGCTTACTTCAGCCATCGACAGCGCCGGTTCTCCATCCTCGGGGACCCGATCCTGGGCAGGTCAGTGTCAAACCTCCTGGGAGAGCTGCTGCATGAGGAGCTGATGATGCGGTGGGAGCAGCTGCTCCTAGATGATGCTTTCACCGGAGGCGCGCTGGCCTGGCTGCCTGGAAGGACGCCCCGGGTCAGGCAGCTGGTCTACCCTGCAGGAGGTGCCCTGGACAGGCTGTGTATCCTTTCTCGCTGGGCAGGACCCCAGCAGCTCCCTCTGGTGGAGGACAGGCTCTTGGCATGGTCCAGGGGAAGGGCAGGAAGTTGGGGGGCCTTGCGGTGATCAGAGGTCCTGTGTGTATCCTTAGCAGGGGGCACAGATTTCCAAGAGGTTCGTCTGACCCCAAGCGGTGACCCTCGGATCCTTGGGAAACCCGGCCACATCCAGCTCCGGGGACCTGTCCGGCAGGTGGTGACCTGCACGGTGCAGGGAGAATGTAAGGCCCTTGGATACCTCCTTCCCCTGCTTACTGACCTGCTGCCTGCCCTGACCCTGACCCTGACCCTCTCCATCCCCTCCTCAGCTCTGCTGGCTGTCCGCTCTGACTACCACTGTGCCATATGGAAGGTCAGCAAGCAGGGGCAACCCTCCCCTCTCCAGGTGCTGCAGGTCGAGAAGGGGGCCACAGGGGTCAACCTCAGGTAAGGGGGCCGAGTTGGGCTGGTTGACGAGGAGACAGGCATGGGAGGAGGGGGTGGCCCAACGTTAATCACACTTATGCCCTGTAGCCCTCACCTGCCTGGAGAGCTGGTTGTCTGCAGCCGTTCAGGAGCCGTCTGTCTGTGGACACCCCAAGATGGGTAATGCCCCTTTCCCAAAAAACCCTCCACCTCCACAAACGGCTCCCCCCGGACTACGGCCCGTACTCCCCACACAGCTTGTCCTGGACCCCGGGCCTGGTTGCCCTGCCTCTTCCCCAACCCCGTCAGCTTATCTCCCCACTCATGGCTGCCCTGTCTCCCCAAGGCTTCAGCAAATCTACAAGGATCCTGAGACCCTAGTGTTTCGAGACCCCTCTCCCTGGCGTTGGGCCGACTTCACCGCCCACCCTCGGGTGCTGACTGTGGGCGACCGCACTGGAGTGAAAATTATTGACACTCAGGTGAGGGGTGGTGGGTTGTCATAGGCTCAGCAGTGGGACAGAGCAGATAACACAGGGTGGGGGCTGCCATGAGAGACATCCTCCAGGGCATGAAAAGCCACAGGTCAGAAACTCCCTCGGCTTGGTGGTGCCCCAGACCTCGGACTGTGGGAGGTCTGACCCGGCTTTCTCCCCCAGGGCCCACCAGGCTGCGGTTTGCTGCTTTTCCGTGGGGGTGCAGAAGCGTCGTGCCAGAAGGGGGAACGTGTCCTGCTAACCCAGTACCTGGGGGGGTGTGGCCCTGAATCTCTGCAGCCCACACTCCATCTCATCTGTACCCAGGTAAGTGACACCTTCCCCCTGCTGTCCCTTGGCACTGTCTCAGCTGGTTACTGGAGAGGCTCCTGGGACAGCTAACTGCAGGCGAAATGAGAATCACAAAACCTTGAAGTCTGTGGCTGAAACATGCTGACCGACAGGTGGGACTGGCCTCATGGGGGTGCCATTCGAACAGGGCTTCAAGCTGCCAGTGGGGGGCACCAGGTGAGGAGGAATGGCATGGGGCAGGGGAGCAGGGCCATCCTGGCACAGCCGACAGTTTCCTGTGTGCTCAGGGAAGGGCAGGAGGTCTGAGGGTTCCCGGGGTACTAGTAGGTGTGTCTCAAGCCTGGATCCCAGGGTCTGGTGAGTCGAGAGAAGGCTGGGGGGAGCCAGGTGGGTTTCTGTGTGACAGGACTCCTCCGCACCTCCCCTGAGATCCTTTTTCCCAGTTGTGGCCATCAGGTTGAGAGAGATGGTTCTGCCCACTCAGGAATCACCTCTTGGGCGGGGCTGGGCACTTGAAGGTGGAGAGGTGGTCAGGGCTGGTCACGGAGCGCGTGGCCACTCGGTTTTGGACCCATCCCGAGAGCCACATGGGGCCAGTGGATGTCATCAGACCATTGTTCCCCATCTCAGTCACACCCCTTCTCTCTCATTTCTGCCGGGCCCCCAGTTCTCGCTCTACCTGGTGGATGAACGCCTCCCCTTGGTGCCCATGCTGAAGTGGGACCATGGCCTCCCCTCTGCACCCCTCCTGGCCCAGCTGCTGCCTCCACCCCGCCCTGGCTGCCCGAGGCCACTGCTTCTTGGAGGCCATGGTGGGCAGGTGCAGCTGCTGCACATCACAGGTGAGGGTCCAGTGAGGGCAGGGAGCGTGAGGGAGGTGGAGCCTGGATGGGACCTCAGCTGTCTGTCCTCCCTCCAGGGGAGGGGGCCTCCATGCCCCGGCTGGCAGGGCCGCCCCAGTCTCTCCCTTCCCGGAGCGAGTCCCTCTCCGCATTCCCCCTGCTGGAGCCCAAGAATCAGCAACGGTTGCAGGAACGTCTACAAGCACCAACTATAGGTACGCTGCAGTGAGGGAGGGAGTTTGGGGGGCCCCGCACCCCAACAGGCCTTGGGGTCACTGTCATTCCTGTCTGCAGGTCTGGTCGCCACCCTTGCACCCTCTGCCTCCACACCAGTCCTGTCACTCCTCCAACTCTCAGCAGCTGGAGATGTCTTCCACCAGCGCCTCCATCTTCAGAAAGACTCCTGGTGCCCCGGAGACCCGGGGCCCGACTTCCATGCCCCCACAGCCTCCTGGAGCCCCCAAGCTACCTCTTGCTGCCGCAGGTGGCTGAAGGCGCTCCTGGAGGTGCCTCCAGCTCCCCCTGTGTGGGCCGCACCCACCTTTTCCCACCGCCATCTGCTGGGCCTCAAGGAGCAGCAGAAGGTTGAGGGGAAAGTGCCAGAGGGTCTCCGGATGGCCATGGCCGAAGGGCGGCTGCTGCAGCAGAGGGACCTGGGCTCACTCCCCACAGCAGAGCCACCCCCGGCCCCCGAGCCAGGCCCCAAGGACGAGCTCAGTGAGCGGTTGGAGGCAGCCTGGGAAGGCCCGGTGGCTGCCTGGTGGGAGCGGCAGCAGGGTAGGGGCTCTGGGCCCAGGAAACAGCCCAAGAGACACAAGCGTCGGATGCAGCTGTCCAGTACCTTCTCCTCACTCAGTGGCCGCCCGGACCTCTCAGATGCCACCAGCCCCCCTCACAGCCCCGACCGGATGTCCCCTGTGTCCAGGCCTCAGCTCCCAGTGACTTTGCCCTCCCAGGAGTTGATGCAGGATCTGCGGGCCCGGGGCATCCCCTCAGAGCGGCAGCAGACTCTCCGAGACTATATGGCCGAGCTGCCTCTTCAGGCGGACACTCCAGAAGGCGTCCCCGTGCCCGCCTCCCAGACTGCCAGCATCCAGGTCACCCCCTCCAGGCAGCAGACAGTCCGGGACTGCACAGCCCAGCTGCCACGCCAAAGGGACACCCTGAGAGGTGCCACTGTGCCCCCTTCCCAGACCTCCAGCATCCGGACCACCCCTTGCAGACTACAGGCCCCTGGGGACTGTGCAGCCAAACTATCACTCCAGAGAGACACTCAAGGGGGTGCTGCCATGCCCTCTTCCCAGACCTCCAGCCTCCGTACCACCCGCTCCGGGCAGCAGGCCCCTGTCCTCTCTGGCTCTCAGCCACGCCGGAAGAAGCCCCGCATGGGCTTCTGAGGGCCTGAGAAAGCTGCTCCCCCACCCTCCTCAGAGCCCTTGGCCCTGGACCAGCTGTGCTTCTGTGACTGAAACTTTGGGAACAGGGTGCAGGCTTCTCTTCTTGAAGGCCACTGTGGCTGGAGACATGCACAGATCATGTAGAGCCAAGTCGGAGGGATGGGAATTTCCTGTAGTTTGTTTTGCCTGAAGATACTAACAAAGGCAGGTTGATGACAAGACCTGGTGGTCCCGACCTGAAGGTCTATCATCAGGGTCCCTCCAGGAGCAGCGCTGGGCTCGAAGCCAGGGCTCCAGTCAGGCTGCGAGCTGGAACTCACGCAGGCTGTGTCCTCAGTGACAGGGCAAGACAGTGAAAGAGGACACTGAGCAGCTGCCGGGTTGGTGGGTGTCAGGAGCTGCCATGGGCTAGTTTGTGTGTATTGAGCAATTTCTACCATGAGGGAGATGTTCTGGACCTGCCTTTAGGGACTGAATAAACGTCACTTGAACATGGTTTTGAGGGATACAGTTTCTAGGACTGGGAGGTGTCCACTTATGTAGTTTTCGGTGTCTGATGCATAAAGTTCACTTGCTCAAAGCTTTGTGGCTCTGGTGGAAGGTTCTGCTCACCTGTGAGGAAAACACCCACTTGAAATTCAACAGCAGGCCAGGGTTTGGGCTAGATTCCTAATCACATGTGAGAGGAATGGTCTTATCTTGGGATACCTAATGAAATGACTCACATGTGACTTGGAGATTTAAATAATCCAGTAGGATGTCTCACATTAATACTGAACTGTTTATAACGTTCAAATGAGCCATTGACAGTTGTACAACATAACACTGCGGGTCATGCTTTGAGAACAAGGAACCCTGTGCTGCCCAGCACACGAAGGGGCTGAGGGTGTAGGAGATGAGTTGTGTGATGGGCACAGGTCACAGCCAAGACCCCAGAGCACGCTCAGGAACTGCAGGAAGGAAGGGGGTCCCAGCCACTGGCTCCCTGTTCAAGCACAGAGGTGTTCAGTCCAAACCAAATTCAATGTCTTCCTGGTCTCCCATCTGGGGCACTGCAGGCTCTTCAGGCTTCGTGTTGGACCGCACTCCACCATGGTCTGTGCTGGTTTCTAAAGAGGTAAGAAGGTAATCAGTACTCTTGGGAAAGTGTGTTCATCGACTTGATTCTTGCCGCATGCAGGCCTTGTGCCAGCGGTGTTCAGAGAGAGACCTGGCTGCCGAAGTGTCAAGTGAGAGCAGGGCTTGTCTGGGTTCAGCAGGCGCCCTCCTCTGTGTTCCCGAGGCAGCTGCTTTGCAAACTCCTCCCGGTTTGCTTGCTATTGCAAGCACCAGCCAGCTTCCCCCAGAAGTGCATCTCCCTGGTCCATGCGCAGACCCCCATCACCAGGCCAGGCTGATGTGCCACGTTGTGGCTTTATTTGCCCCCACCACCCACCTCCCCCGCAGCTGCTCTGGACACTGTCCCTGCCTGGCAAACCTCCTGTTCCAGCCAGCACTGTCGCACATCATGCAACCTGATTCTGGACCTTCACTGTGGAGGGGCTACAGTCTCTGGCCTGCTGTCGCCCTTGTTTGTCCCACATTCCCAGCGATGGTGTCACCAGTCCCCTCCCTCCCTTAGAAGCTTGGTCTGGGAAAGCCGAGGATTGGGATGCTGAGGAAGGGAGTGAAAATGCATGCTCTCCAGCCCCGTCTACACCCGCTGAACAAGGCTGCCAAGATCTGCACAGCTCTAAGTAGCCTGCAGATGCCATGTCCAGGGATGGGTTGTGGCAGCTTCAAAGAGGCATAAAGCTAGGACTGGGGTCACAACTGTCTCTGCGTTCGGTTGTGAGGGACCCTCTCCAAGAACAAGGGACTCTAGGGGCAAGGGCTCAAGTGGCTATCCCCTGCGGGTCTGCGTGGTCAAGGGTGCATTTCCCCACTGCCAAGGCTTTTGACTCCCACGCCCTTGAGAGTAGGGTGGCATTACCTGGAGGAGAGGCCGGAAGTAGGTCCCCATGCCCGTCCTCACTGGAAGAGGGTGATGTGGGGTCCCTCTCGCAGGCTGGGGGTGGCGGTGGTTGGCCTGAAAGCCTGTCATTGTTGAGCTCCTGAATCAGCGGGCGCAGGGACTTGGAGTCTCTGCTTTGGGTCTCCAGACCCCTCTTTGCCACTTCTTTGAATATGTGTGCACAGGGCGTCTCGGCCTTCCTGGAGGTGTCCTTGGAGATCGAGAATATGTTTGAAAGGCTGCCTGTGGACATGCTGTCCAAGCCTGGCAGTGAGCTGTAGTCCAGTTCCGGGTCACTGTCATCACTCAGGCTGGAGATGGTTGTAATCTTTGGAAAGCACATCTGTTTAAAAAAAAAAGACACTGCTTTCACAATAGTCATTCTAAAATGCACAATGCTGATTCCACTTTTTTCTAGCACAAAATATTCTACTGCTACATATGAGAGGGCCCAGGGAGCAGAGCTCCCTGCTGGACAGCTGGGTCTCAGGACAGACACCCTTAGCCATTTCTGAGCCCGAGTTGTGAGCTCCACAGCCACCTGCACATTTCTTTCTCACCCTCCGCTGGGTCTCCACGCTGCCCAGTCTGTCCTGGCTACACCTACCTGCCCCCGGGGCCCTGAATGGGCTCAACTGCTGTGCCTCAGCCGCAGTTGAGTGCATGGCTGGCATGCACCTAACCCAGCCCCCTGGACTTAGCCCCTCAGAGGCCAGGCCCTGTGGGAACTGTGGTCCATGTCTGTCCCTTCCTCAGTGATGAGGTCCTGCACAGATTGCGTCCTATCCTTCCTGTCCTGCGAGGCCTGGGGCTGGCACACACAGGTTTTCAGCACAGCTGGAGACAGGAGGGTCAGGTCAGATTGGGAGAACTCCCCACCGGGCCTCGCACACTCTTCCTCCCTTCTCCTTTCCTTCCCTCTATGTATTGCTATAGTACAGACATATATATGATGGACATATAAATACATCAGAAGGGCAGAAAAATGTCAGGTAATTGTGTGAGTACAGAGTGATTACAAATCAGTGATAGCCCTGGCCAGTGTGGCTAAGTTGGTGAAGCACTGTCCTGTAAACCAAAAGGTCACAGGTTCAATTCCCGGTCAGGGCACATGCCTAGACTGTGGGTTCAGTCCCCAGTTGGGGTACATACAAGAGGCAGCCAATCAGTGTTTGTCTCTCACACTGATGTTTCTCTTCTTTCTCTCTCCCCACTCCCTCTAAAATTAATATCCATGTTCTTGGGCAAAGATAAAAAATAGTAATAATAAATATTAGTGATAAAATATGTTCAAGAAAACCCCAGTGGTTAATCATAAAACCTTAAAGAAGTAAGTGAGAGCCAGCAGCTACGTTTGCTTTGAAAGGTAACAATACAGGGGGTGTGCAATTGTTTCAGCACAGAGAGCATTTTACTTTTGAATTAAGGGGATATGCTTTGTAAATGACAAGACCAGAAGTGCAAGGGGAAATGATGCCGATTGGGGGGAAACCTGTGTTACAGCCTTGTCTCGGTCTTGGAGAGATTCGCCTGCATCCACATCTTCTAAGTCAGGTAGGTCCTGCAACAGCAGACGAGCCATGTCAGCAGGGGGGCATGCACACGCTGGACACCGGGGAGTGAGACGGGGGCCCACGCACTTGGGGAGCCTGAGTCACGTGCAAGCGAAGCATGGAGGGAAAATAACCCAGACCACTCGGGCAGCCCCTTGCACACTCACCACACACACTCACCACACACACACAGGCTACTTCAAGTATCTGGACCTGATCAATAAATGAGATTTTCAGGGTGTGGCATGTTTGAAGAATTTCCACGTCTTTCTCCCCTTGATTTCGTCACTAGACGTACAGACAGGTTCCCTGGGGGGGGACGTGATGGGGCCCAAACCAAATGCCCCTTGTATGTACAGATTAGCCTCAGGATTCCATGTGGTGTAAAGGGAGCATATTTTGGACCTCCCCAGTACTAGAAGGGCTTTTGTGTTGTGCTTTGATGTCTTTAGCAACTGGTCCAGTGTGCAAGGCAGGCAGCACTGTGTGTGGTTGGATGTGTGAACTCTGGAGCCAGTTGCCCAGCTGTGTAGCCATGGGCAGGTTGCTTAACCTCTCTGTTTCTCAATTTCCCCGTCTGTAAGAGGGGGTTGAGAATAGTACCAACCTCTCAGAGTTACTGGAAGGGTAAATCAATCAATACAAGATGTATTTAGAACAGTGCCCAACAAAGTAAGAATAATAAGAGTTAGCTATTAGTTGTCCTGTATACAGTCAATTCTCAAATGCTAGATATTAATCACCTAGTTGTTGTTTCTTAGTATACACAGGCCCAGAGAACTAGAAACCCACTCAGTTTGTCTTACTGAGCCACGTGAAATTGTGAAGTTAGGAATGAAACACAGTTTAGAAATTTATCAAGGACGTGGGCAGGGGGCAAAGTTGCACCCATGGATTTAAATGGCAGGAGCTCACTCATGGGCAGAGAAGCAGGGCTGAGCAGAGGGAGCGACAACTCCCCACTAGGCAGGAGGCTAAAGGCGTGAGAAATGCCTCCCCACTCCTTGCCTCACCCCAGTGCCTGGGGTGGGGGCCGGGGGGGGTGACAACAGGTGTGAGTTCTCCCGGTGCTCATGCCTGGGGCCAAAGCACTGAAGACTTAATCAGAACAGAAGAGCTCCAGGAAGGAGAGGGTGCGTGAGGCTGTGATCTATAATTAGGGCAGGCAGCCCCTCACTGAATGGGCATCAGGGCACCAGACACTGGACAGCCACATCAGGAAGCTGGAGCCGCCACAGGACAGGAAGATGGCAGCAGCTGCTTGCTGGGCAGCTATCCATAGGTCAGAGGCTCTGATGATAAAATGTAACTTTTTCGACCAGTAGGTATAAGGCTAGCTGGACAGATTGGCTTAGCAGTGTAACTTCTTTGGGGGAAACAAATCAAGAGTTTTGTAGACATAGTTCAAGGGAAATCATTTGGGCTAGCACTTCAGTCTTGAACCTGTACATCACCCCAGGGAGATCTTATTAAAATGCAGATTCGGATCAGTAGGTCTGGGCCAGGCCTGGGATTCTGCACTCTAACTAGCTCCTAGGCAATGCTAAGCCTGCTGGCCCAAGGACCACACTTAGGGGAGCGAGGATTTTGAGGGCTGTATCAGATCACCCGTTTTACAGGTGGTAAAACAGACACTCATCTCCACACGCAACTATTTACATACATCGATGAAGAGCTTCTTCTCTGTGTCCAGTGTAATGGTTTCCAAATCTTCATTCCCATCAAGTTTTGTACCTGATGCACTCTTGGTGGCCACAGTCTGGGGAGCAGACTCTAAGGAACAACAACAAAGAGTTATTAATCTTGGAGTTAGTTTTATACATGGTGCTCAGATCAACAAGGCCAAGGTCAAGGTGGATTCCAAGAGAAGAGGAAGGCCAAAACCCTCCTAGATCTGAAAGGTCAGTCCCTGCGGCAGAAGCTGTGAGAACCCCCAAATAAGGATGGGGTTATATCTAAAAAGAAAGGAAAGGGAAAAGGAGAGAACTGCCCCCTTCTGGAGCCATCATGACTT